GCCGTCGAGCTGGTTGAGCAGCTCGAGCATGGTTCGCTGCACCTCGGAATCGCCGCCTCGCGAGCCGCCGTCGCCTCGGGACGATCCGATGCTGTCGATCTCGTCCATGAAGATGATCGAGGGGGCGTGCTCTCGCGCCATGACGAAGAGCTCTCGCACCATGCGCGAGCCTTCTCCGATGTACTTTTGGACGAGCTCGGAGCCGGATACGCGGATGAAGCGGCAGTCGGTGTGGTGTGCGACGGCACGGGCGAGAAGCGTCTTGCCGGTGCCGGGAGGACCGTAGAGCAGTACACCTTTTGGCTGAGCGATTCCGAGAGCCTCAAAGAGTTCGGGATGCTTTACGGGAAGCTCGATGACCTCCTTGATCTCCTTGATCTGGCGGTCGAGACCGCCGACCATCTCGTATGTAGAGTCGGGGACCTTTTCGACCATCATGAGGGAGACGAGGGGGTCGATCTTGTTGGGCAACACTTTGTGGAGGGTGTAGGAGTCGGAGCGGAGGGCGACGCGGAGCGTGGGAGTGAGAGTGGAGATGTCGATGTCGGAAGCAATGTCGACGACGTATTTGCCCTCTGGCTGCACCTTGACGAGCACCTTTTTCTTGCCCATGACTTTCACGACTTCGCCGACGTAGGAGCCAGGCTCCTGGAGCAGCTGGAGCTCTTCGCGCAAGAGGCGGACGCGCGCATTGAGGGCGTTTCTTTGCGCTTCAAGACGGCGGAGGTTCTGGGTCTTTTGGTTGATGAGGATCTCGTAGGATCGGATCTTGGATTGATAGAAGGACTGGATGCCGAGCGCGCTGGCGGAAGCTGCTGCGTTGCCGATGCTGGCGAGGGATGCGGTGTTGGGCTGGGCGGTGGTTGTGCCCGCAGCGAGAGAGGTGACTGCAGCCGACATGATAGTTCACAGTCAAAGAATAGACGCTTCTAGGAACGAGTTGAGGATGGTTGCCGACAGTCAAACGCGAAGGTTTTTGGACCGAGACCAAGCGCGACTCGCTCGCTCGCAATGATAGGGACGGTTCGAGCGAAACAGAGGCGGAGATGCGTCGAGTCCAGCTGGGTGGCACTGAGTAGCAAGGAGAGAGAGGTGACGGGATGGTATGGTGGAGGAAGGGGCGACCGATGCGCCGCCTCGGAAATGGCGCGCTGCTGGCTGCCAGAGCGGTGTTGCTCCACTTTCGAGATTGGACGCGCCACCTCGACCTCCGCACGCCTCGATCACACCGCTCCCAGGACGGCGAGGGTTTGGATTTGTGCGTATGTTTCAACGTAACATCCTTAATTTCGGGGATCGCCTTCGATTTGGTCGACCCGATTTCCCGATATCAAATGACTAACCGCTCGATGGTCACGCTGGCATGCCCTCCCTCGGCTTCAATCTTTGGAGCAGTGCTGCATTGTACCATCTTAGCGGGTTTTGATCGATGTGACTGACGGTGCTGGCTCGTCCAGTAATCACTCAGGCTGGCGGCAGCAGGAAAGCAGGGGCGAGCCAATGGCAAGATGCGCAAATGTCAGGTCGAGTGGCGCTGGCTCGGCTCCACATGCTTGGCTGAGGCAGTTTTGGCTTTGGCTTTGGGACTCGCGTTGGATTTTCGACTGCCGGCTGGGGGCGGTCGGATTTAGAGGCTGAGCCCGGCAGCCCAACACTCACTCTGTGGCCCGTCGCCCCAAAAGTGACGCTTCAGAGCCGCACAAACGTAGCTCCGGTAGCCACCGAAAACGCCCATCCTCGGCGCCATTTCTCGTCAGACCCGAATGTGCCACTCCCCTCTCCACCATCACCACTGATAACAATCGTCCATCAGTCCACGCACACATACACACACACACTCGCACACACAATCATGTCGATAGTACCTGCCTCGACGTCGCTCGCCGCAGCCTCCAGAGCCGCACGCCTCTCTTTCCTGTATCCCGGCGCTTCCTCGTGCACCGTCTCAACACTCAGCCGCACCTACACAACCCGCAGCAGAAGAAGGGCAACGGCTGAGCACCTCAGACAGCCATCCTCATCGCGACATGTCATGCCGTCAACCGCCACTGCCGCCGCTCCGAGATGGCTGTCCACGCCCGCCATCCCTTCGACGTCCACATTCTCATCGCGTGCACACCCAGCCCCTGCATCCAGTCCTTCCGCTTCGTCGTCCAGACTAGCCGCATGGCGCTCTTTCGGCTCTTCGTCGGCATCCTCCAAGCCCTCATCGGATCCCGCTCGTGCCTCGAGCAGCGACACGGCCGCTGTGGACCCAGCATGCGCCACCCTGTCTCCCTCTTCGCCTGCCGCGCCAAAGTCGCAAAAGGATCCTCGCGCTCCGACGCCATCCCCCGCCACACCCGCTCCTACCGCCGCAGATCCAGCTCCTACAACCAACCTCACACCCTCCAAAGCTGCCGAGCTAGCAAGCGACCCCAGCGTCGCCGCCACCATGCCCCAAGCAACCGCAGCCGCCACTCCTCCTCCCAAGAAGGCTTCCTCAGATCGAGGCACCAAGTTCCGCTCCCGCACCGCCGCTCTCAAGCTCACTCCCACCGCTGTGCTTCGACTGCGTGCACTCATGGACTCCGACTCGGGTCCCAAGATGATCCGCGTCGGCGTCCGCAACAAGGGCTGCGCCGGCATGTCCTACCACCTCGAGTACATCAAGCCACAGGACGCAGGTCGATTCGACGAGCGCGTCAAGCAGGACGGCGTAGAAGTCCTCATCGACAGCAAGGCGCTCTTCAGCATCATCGGCAGCGAGATGGACTGGCAGGAGGACCGCCTCAGCGCAAAATTTGTCTTCAACAATCCAAATGTAAAAGAAGCCTGCGGATGTGGCGAGTCCTTCCTCACATAGTCCGTCCCCACATAGATCATCATTGCGCCGTCTTGGTGTCACCACTCTGTTCGCGCCAGGCCGCAACACCAAAGCAATCCCAACAGCTCCACTCGAATCCGCATGAATGGTGTCTTCCGGTCGTCGTGTCTAGAGTACAAAGTGAATGCGTGAAATTTGAGAATAAGATGAGAGGTGGGACGCCGTCGCCACGAGATCATTGCTGCGGCGGCTGCTTGGCCCCGCTTTCCGATGCTTTGCCTTCAGAGAGGGTTTCATCCAGTGCTTGCTCCTCAGCCGATGATGGTGCTGCTGGACTCGCCGTGGCGTCTGGACCCGTCGTCGCAGCTGGTGCTGCCACCGGTGCCGATGCCTCGGCTTTGCGCAACGTGAGAAGGCCGAGGTCAAACTTGCTCGGCACCACGCCCAGCCTCCTGTACACATTGGCCATCTTGGCTTCCGACGTCGAGATGGCTTTCTTTGGCGCCCCGAGTCCGGACTGCTTGCCGTGCGTCTCTGCCTCGGACGGAAGCGGCGTCGCGTGCGGGAGGCCTTGGAGCAAAGTCACCACTTTTCCGTCCACCGGAGCGCCCGATTCGCGTCCGATGCGCGCAACACGCCCCGCCGCGTGCACGTACTGCACCGCATCAACCACCGATGCGTACCCAACCACAAAGACGTGCGAGAGCCCCGGAATGTCCAGCCCACGCGACGATGTCGACTGCAGCAAGAAGAGCTCAGGTGCCTCTCCCGCAGCATTCTCGCGAGGTGCCTCCGTCGCCGAGGCGTCCGAGGCAAGCCGCACCGAGACGCCCAGCGCCTCGAGCGCAGCTCGCGTCTTGAGCAAACTCCAGCGCGCAGGAATCAAGGCCAGGCCACGCTCCACCCCGTCGGATGCAAAGCAAAACGCCAGCGCTTCGATCAGCGTCTGATCCATCTCGTGTTCTTGCGGCTCGTCTTCGGGCTTGATGATCGAGTAGCCCTCTTCCGACAGCGCGCTTCCCGCCGTCACCGTTGCTGGATTCGAGTCGGCAGAGGCGGCCACGGCCGCACGTGCTTTCTTGCGCGCAAGCTTTGGCTCAAAGTTGCGCAGCGGCACAGCAGACAGCTGCTTGGACAGCGGTGCCTCGTCGACCACCACACACGTATGTGCAATGCACGCTGGCATCGTCGAGGCCGGTTGCTCGAGCGAGCTTTCGATGAGGCCGTTGGCTCGTGCTTGCTCGTTGAGCCCAAAGAGTCCGCGAATGCCCTGGTCGATCAGGCTTTTGCCGCTGAGGCCCGTCAAATCGATCCAGCGTCCGACCTGCGGAGCAAAGGCGAGACCGTGTTCCTTGGCGCCTGTTCGTAGCCATCCCGTGCGAGCTCCGAAAAAGTGGCGCATGACCGAGTTGGCCGTCGCACTGGTCGCCACCAGTTGGAGCGGCTGGACGCCAGCGGTGCGTGGCTTGGGCAGCGCAAGTCCCGTTTGCGGATCGGCGCGCGTACGCTCGGCCGCTTTGTACGTGTTGCGACGGACGTTTTCCGGCGGTCGCCGTTCGTCGCGTTGCTTGCCTGGCCGATTCTCGAGACCGGCTGTCAGATGTCTTTCGCCGCCCGAATGCGTGGCTCGGCTCTTCATGATGGTGTTGAGTATGAGCAGCCCGGGTGCTTTGTGCACCTCGTGCCTCCAGCGTTGTTTGTGCGAAGGGAATCTTCCGGGCAGCTGGAGCACCGCATCGGCTTCGTCGAGCACGAGCGTGCGCAAGGTGTCGATGCCCAGAAGCGAAGAGCCGGCAGGTGTGTTGAGAATGTCCATGATGCGACCCGGAGTGCCGATCAGGATGTGCGGCGGGTTGGATTTGAGGCGCTGCAGCTCCTCCTCTGGAGTGCGCGCATCGGACCCTGGCAGACCGCCGCGAACCAGACACTGGATGACGGGATCCAGGGATGGCAAGCTCGACGGCGGGAAGAGTGAGCGGGCCCATCGAAGGTACTGCGAGGCCAGCTCGCTGCTTGGGACTAGGACGATGGACGCGATGCCTGTCCTGGGTCGGCTGCGCTTGCTTCTCGAGCCAGCGGCGCTGTCCGCCGCCGTGGATGCGGTGTCGCGGAAGACGATGCGGGGCTTGCTGAGCAGCGCGAGGAGAAGACCAAACGACTTTCCCGTGCCTGTGTGTGCGCGCAGAATCACATCGGTAGGTGAGAGGAGGGCGGGTATGAGTGCCGATTGTGCTGGTGTGGGCTGTCGAATGTGCGGATGAGAGGTGGTAAGCTGTCGGCAGACGTTGGCGTTGAGGCCGAGGCGCTGGAAGCGTTCGCGAACGCCTTCCGGACTTGTCACTTTCGAGCTGTCGGATGGATTTGGAGGGATAGAGTCCGTCTCGGTTTCTGGTGTCCCTTGGGTGAGACCCGGACCAGACTGAGTCGAGTAGGACGAGGACCGGTGATAGTTGATGAATCTGACGACGGATTGGCGAGAACACGATTGCCGCGGTGAGTCTAGCATGCGATAGGGCGTGGTGGATGGAGTATGAAGTGTCCTTCCGCCGTAGCTTGTGAGCAGAGGCGTGGCATTGGAAGAGCCCGAGGCATGGTGGCGCGACAGTGAGGCAAGCCACTCGACGCGCTTCGAGCCTCCCCTCGTTGCTCGCAGCATGATCGTGCGTTGATCGGCTCAGCCTCTGCTGCACGTACGTTGCAGCCTGTCAGGAGAGGTACAGCGTTGCGGATGCTGTGCTTGGCCAAGAGAGTTTGACGATGATGAAGGGCGTACGAAGTACAAATTGTATCGCAACTTTCCAACGGCGGCTCAGTTGCTGTAAACGCCAGGAGGGGGGAAAAAAAAGAGGGAATTTGCATGTGGAGCGCCCCTTCGGAATTCGGAATTCGGATGTCGGGATCCATTTCACCCGCCTTCCGCCTTCCGCCTCCCGCAAAGACGCTCGATTCCCAAGCGCCGTAGCTGAGCCACTGCCTTCTGCACCACCTCTTCCCGACCTACGAACCAGGTCACTTGCGAAGGGAACTCAGAAGCACATGCAGACTCCAATCTTCACCACCTCAACCACGGAGCACAGTGATGTATCCTTTGCATTGTCCTGTATAGCTGCGACGATTTCTGACTTGCACGCCAGTGCGTCTGCCTGAGCCTCGATCGTGTCTCGGCCGTTGCTGGCAGGTTGAAAGGTTCGGCCAAGACTGGCTACGCACAAGATACTGACGCAATCACTCGCATCTACATCCTCCAACCGTGTAATGGCTGCGCCGGGATAGAGTCTGCCAATGGTGATGCAACAGCGTCTAGCGAATGGCTAAAGCCTAGACTGTTGGCCGCGCTGCCACCCGTGCGATCGCTGGTGCCGGTGCTGCCAACGCTGCTGGTGCTGCCCATGTCGTCGAGGTGGTTAAATCCGTCTGGCACAACATAGGGATGCATGCATGCCTGTGATAGCCACATGCTGGCCGAATCGCACAAGCATGGCTCGAATCCGCACCCGCTGCACGTTCGGATGTTGTGCGGGGGAACCATATCCGGTGCTGATATCGGCGCTGCTGATGATCCCACCAAGGGTCTCGTTGGCGTAGCTGCAGCCGTCGACATCGTCCTGGATTCAGAAAGATGGAGCACGTCCGTCCATGCTCCTTTATCGGTCCGCGACGTGCTGGTTGTCAGCGGGTTGGGCATGGCCATGTTGCCTACTCCAGCCGCCGGTATGTCGCTGTTGACGAAGCCGCTGAGCGCATTGATCAAGGTGTTTCTGTCATCTTGCATGCTCAACGTACTCTCGTCCTGGCATATTGGCTGCCGCTGCTGCTGCTGCTGCTGCTG